GGGGGGGGGGGGGGGGGGGGGGGAGAATCCCAAGCAGGCTCTGCATTGTCAGCATGAAGCCCAACGCGTGGCTAGAGCTCATGAACCACAAGATCATGACCTGAAGCCAAGTCGGATGCTTAACTGACTGAGCCACATATGTGGCCCCTAGGATCCTGTATAATTTTTTTAAGTTTTTATTTATTTATTTTGAGAGAGAGTGAGAGAATGCATGTGCATTAAAGGGGCAGAGAGGGAATCTCAAGCAGGCTCCACACTGTAGCATGGAGACTCGTGCTGGGCTCGAACTCATGAACTGTGAGATCATGACCTGAGCAGAGATCAAGTTGGACGCTTAACCAGCGGAGCCACTCTGGCACTCTTTGTCTATAGTTTTAATAGCTATCCCTGTTATATTACTGTGTGACTATCAAGTCTCACCCATTTGATGTTCTCTAGCCTTGAGTAGCTGCCCACCTACGGCCCCTACTTCTTAGCATCACTGGGCTCAGGTGCTGGTTACCTGACATTGTGGGGCTGCTTGTCACAGGACAGCACAGTGCTTGCAATGGACTGCTGCAGGTGCTGTCGTTGCCTCCTCAGGATCTGCTGGAAGTCATCTTCCAGGGTCTGTACCACATAACGCAGAAAGAGGACTCGCCCAGGCAGATTTTGTCCCTGTAGGAGAAAAAATGAGAAGGATTTCCTTTCAATTTCCCGATGACAGTGAGCATTAGGCTCTCCTAAATATGAAGTCTAAGGGAAGGCCATGCATCACCAAGTACGTCCCTAAAAGAGACACTCCTGAGAGAGAGCAGGCAGTCTAGGTCATTATAAAAGAGGGGAAATTGGGCAATCCCGGAACCTGGAGGTTCCGGACTGAAGGCTTTCTGAATTTAAGGGATATAGAGCCATGAGAAGTCAGTCTCTCACTAAACTTGACTATCAGCCTTAGGATAAATCTCAAACTGTGGATATCAGAACACAGAGACAAAAACTGGTTCCTATATGATTCTGTTGAGCTGCTGGATCAAGCAACCATGATGTCCATACCACTGCTGAACTTCTAGTAACATGAGCTGGTTCATATCCTTATTGTTTAAGCAAGTTTGAGTTGAATTTTCTGTTACAGGTGAAATGATTCTAACTGAGAAAGCCCAACTGATGCAGGTAAAGCGCATGGGCGGTGATGGCGCACAGACCTCATGTATTTATTTTTGTTTGATTGTTTTAAATTTTTTTTTTTTTTTTTTTTTTTTTAATGTTTTATTTATTTTTAGGAGAGAGAGAGAGAGACAGCGTGAGCAGGGGAGGGTCAGAGAGAGAGGGAGTCACAGGCTGAAACAGGCTCCAGGCTCTGAGCTGGCAGTCAGCACAGAGCCCGACGCGGGGCTCGAACCCACGAACCGCGAGATCATGACCTAAGCGAAAGTCGGACGCTTAACCGACTAAGCCACCCAGGCGCCCCAATTTTTTGTTTGATTGTTTTAAACCCCACACTCATTTCAACTTGCCCTTCTGAGTTTCAGTGTCTCTGTGATTTAAGTGGTGATAACTATATCAAAGCCAGTGTAAGTACCTGTGACATGCCAGGCAGACATGCACTATTTGTTGGTTTCCCTTTACTGGGAGACAAGTGCTGGGATGTAGGCCCAGGAGCTCAGGCTTTCAAACTTCAAAGAATAAGGCCCCAAACTGTTTCTGGACTCTGGGAACTTTCCAAACACCAGGGTAATGGACTAGGGTATGGTTTAGTCAGCAGGAAAATGAATGACCATTGTAAGCACATACGATTTCTTTTTTTAAGAGGAGGTGAGAGGGGCGCCTGGGTGGCTCATTCAGTTGAGCGTCTGACTTCAGCTCAGGTCATGATCTCACAGTTCATGGGTTTGAGCCCCACATCGAGCTCTGTGCTGGCAGTTCAGAGCCTGGAGCTGCTTTGGATTCTGTGTTTCCCTCTCTCTCTGGTCCTCCCCTACTCGTGCTCATCTCTCAAAAATAAACAAACATTAGGGGCGCCTGGGTGCTCAGTCAGTTAAGCATCTGACTTCAACTCAGGTCATGATCTCAGGGTTCATGAGTTCAAGCCCCGTGTCGGGCTCTGTGTTGACTGCCAGCTCAGAGCCTGGAGCCTGCTTCAGATTCTGTATTTCCCCCTCTCTCTGACCCTCCCCTGCTCATGCTGTATCTCTCCCTCTCAGAAATAAAAACATTAAAAAATTTTAAAGTAAATAAATGTTAAAAAATTTCCAAAAAAATATAAAAAGAAGGTAAGAATGTGATAACTTTGTCTTCCAATGTGCATATGTTTTTTTCCCTAATTCTCATTAATTGGTACAAATAATGTCTCTCAATTATTTTTGAGAGACAGTGTGCATGAGCTGGATAGGGGCAAAGAGAGAGGACTGGGGCAGAGAGAGAGGATCCTAGGCAGGCTCTGCACTGTCAACGTGTAAGTGGGGCTCAAGCTCACAAACCGTGAGATCATGATCTGAGCTGAAATCAAGAGATGGATGCTTAACCAACTGAGCCACCCAGGGGCCCTGGTGCAAATGATTTTTTAAAAATCAAGTAGTTGTGCTAGACTTATGATGAAATCTACTGCTTCCCCACTGTAGCACCCTAGAGGGAAATTTTACTCTTTCTTCTGAAAGTTACTCTACACATCTCTAAAAAACGATCTTACCACTACTTCTTGATTTATCAAGTTTAGACATTATCTATTGGCTTCTGCTGTGCTAGATAAGGACTTAACTCACTTATGCCACTTCCCCATTTTTCTTCCTAAAATAACTATCTCAATTGATGTTCCATCATCTACAGATGGTACCTCTTGACTCTCCATTTTGTAGGATAAGGATGTCATAAAAGCCCTACTATTCTCAGAGATCCTATCCCTTTTCACCTAGTAATCTTTATCATCTAGTGTTTTCCATTGTCAAGGCTAAAACTGTTTTCTGTTTTAATATAAAAATTGATTCTAAATATTACAAATAGTGTTTACAGTATGAGGACTATGTTAAGATTATTTACTACACTGGAAATCCATGTGGTACACTAAGAAAATACTTTTTCTTGTGAAGCTTTTTGATCTTCTTAAAGTTTCTTCGTTATCCTCCCTATACTGCCTACAATAATCACTTTACTTCTTTTAACTCCTCAAGAATGGTGCTGAATCTTGAGAATATCCTTCTTTCCCGTTTTTTTTTTTTTTTTTTCCATTTTTAAAAACAACTTTATTGGGGCACCTAGGTGGCTTAGTTGGTTAAGCGTCCAACTTTGGCTCAGGTCATGATCAGTGGTTCATTGGTTTGAGGCCCACATCGGGCTCTGTGCTGACAGCCAGCTCAGAGTCTGGAGCCTGCTTCAGATTCTGTGTCTCCCTCTCTCTCTGACCCTCTCCAGCTCAGGCTCTGTCTGTCTGTCTGTCTCTCTCAAAAATAAACATTTAAAAAAAAACACCAACTTTATTGACAACCCTTACATATTTACCCATTTTAAATGTGCAATTCAATGATTTGTTATAAATTTACTGAGTTTGGTAATCATGGCCATAACCAATTTTTAGAGTATCTTTATAACTGAAATAAGATCCCTCATGTCTATTTACCGTTAGTTCCCATTCCCATCTATAGCCCCAGGCAACCACTCCTCTACTTTCTGGCTCTACTGACTTGTCCTTCTGGACATTGCATATATGCAGAATTATACACCATGTGATCTTGTGTGTATGGTTTCCTTTTATGTAGCTTAATATTTTTTGAGGTTTGTCCATGTTACACCACATATCAAGAGCTTTTTCTTTTTTTTTTAAATTACTGACTAGCATTCCCATGTTTGAATGTAGCACATTTTGTTCATCCATTCATTTGTTGATGGACATTTGGGTTGTTTCCACTTTTGGCTAATATGAATAAGGCTGCTATGAACATTCACATGGAAGTCTTTGTTAGGCACGTATTTTCATTTTTCTTGGGTCAGTATCTGGAAGTTGAATAGCTTGGTCATATGATAAGTTTATGTTTACTTTTTTAAAGGAACTGTCAAACTGTTTTCCACAGTGGCTTTACCATTTATGAATATTCCCACCAGTAATGTTATCAGACTTCCTGTATCTCCATTTTCTTGCCAACATGTTATTGCCTGCTTTCTTTTTAAAATTTTTAAAAATTATGATAAACATTTAACACAGATTTAAACTATCTTAACCATTTATATTTTTGAGAGAGAGAGAGAGAGAGAACAAGCAGGAGAAGGGCAGAGAAAAAGAGGGAAACACAGAATCCTAATCAATCTCCAGGCTCTTAGCTGTCAGCACAGGTCTGATGCACGGCTCAAACCCATAAACTGTGAGATCATGACCTGAGCTGAGGTCGGGTGCTTAACTGACTGAACCACCCAGGGCTCGTCCCCGCTTTTTTTTTTCTTTTAATATTTTTGTTTATTTCTAGGAGAGAGAGAGACAGCGTGAGCAGGGGAGGGTCAGAGAGAGAGGGAGTCACAGACTGAAACAGGCTCCAGGCTCTGAGCTGGCAGTCAGCACAGAGCCCCGCGCGGGTCTCGAACCCACGAACAGCGAGATCATGACCTAAGCGAAAGTCGGACGCTTAACTGACTAAGCCACCCAGGCGCCCCAACGTCCCTACTTTTTTTCTTAAGTAGGCTTCATGCCTAGCATGGAGCCCAACTCAGGGCTTGAACTCATGACCCTGAGATCAAGACTTGGGCTGAGACCAAGGGTCGGATGGTAACCAACTGAGCCACCCAGCCACCCTATCTTAATCATTTTTAAGTATATTCATATAGTTATGTAACAGATCTCCTGAACTTTTCCATTTGCAAAATAAAACTCTACATACATTGAACAATAACGTCCCATTTCCTCCTTCCCCCAGCCCCTGATAACCAACATTCTATTTGCTTTTTTTTTTAATAATTTTTTTTAGTGTTTTATTTATTTCTGAGAGAGAGGGAGAGAGAGCGAGCATGAGTAGGGGAGAGAGAGACAGACAGCATGAACAGGAGAGGGTCAGAGAGAGGGAGACACAGAATCCAAAGAAAGGCTCCAGGCTCTGAGCTAGCTGTCAGCACAGAGCCCGATGTGGGCCTCGAACCCACGAATCCTGAGATCATGATCTGAGCCAAAGTTGGATGTCCAACAGACTGAGCCACCCAGACACCCCTCTGTTTGCTTTTTATATTAATGACAGCTATAGACATTTTGTGTACGTCAAATTACACAGGATCTTTTTGTGACTGGCTTATTTCACTTGGTATAATATCCTCATTATGCTACCATCCATGTTGTAGCATATGGGATTTCCTTCCTAATTAAAGCAGAGTTACTATTTCATTGTACCTGTATATGCCACATTTTGTTTACCTAGTTATCTATTGACAGACACTTGGGTTGTTTCCACTTCTTGGCTATTCTGAATAACGGTGCTATGAACATGGCTGTGCAAATCTCTCTTCAAGATCCTTCTTTAATTCTTTTACATATATACCCATGTGGGAATATATGAAGTGGGATTGATGGATCATATGGTAATTCTATTAACTTTTCGAAGAAACACCATGTAGTTTTCCACAGTGGTTGTATGATTTTATAATCCTACCCACAGTGGGCAAGTGTTCTCATTTCTCTACATCTTTGCCATGACTTATGACTTATTTTCTGTTAAAAAATTTTTTTTTTAAATTTTTTAAAAACGTTTATCTATTTAGAGAGAGAGAAAGAGAGAGCACGTGCGCGCACAGGGGAGGGGCAGAGAGAGAGGGAGACACAGAATCTGAAGCAGGCTCCAGACTCTGAGCTGTCAGCACAGAGCCCGACATAGGGCTTGAACTCACAAACTTGTGAGATCATGACCTGAGCTGAAGTCAGATGCTTAACTGACTGAACCACCCAGGCCCACCCCCCTCAAATTTTTGTTTTAATAGTAGTCATCCTGAATGGGTTTGAGATGATATCTCACTGTGGTTTTGATTTGCACTCTCTGTGATTAGTGATGCTGAGCGTCCTTCCATATGCTTGCTGACCATTTTTTAAAAAATAGTTTACTGTCAAGTTGGTTTCCATATAACACCCAGTGCTCATCCCCACAAGTGCCCTCCTCCGTGCCCATCACCCCCTTCCCCTCCCCCCACCCCATCTGCCCTCAGTTTGTTCTCGCATTCAAGAGTTTCTCATGGTTTGCCTCTCCCTCTCCCTATTTTCCCCCTTCTCCTCCCACCATGGTCTTCCGTTAAGTTCCTCCTAATCATCCTATATATGCAAACATATGGTATTTGTCCTTCTCTGCCTGACTTATTTTGCTCAGCATAACACCCTCATGTTCCATCCACATTGCTACACATGGCCAGATTTCATTCTTTCTCATTGCCATGCAGTATTCCATTATATAGATAAACCACATCTTCTTGATCCATTTGTCAGTTGATGGACACTTAGCTTGTTGGCCATTTGTATATTATCTTTGGAGAAATGTCTATTCAAGTCCTTTGCCTTTTTAAAAATCAGGTTATTTTGTTTTTCTATTTTCCCTTTAATTCTGTCAGTTTTGTAGAAAAATGTGAAATGTTAAGGAGCTCTTTTATATGTTCAGGATATTAACCCCTTATCAGATATGTGATTTTAAAATGTTTTCTCCTGGGTGCCCAGGTGGCTCAGTCGGTGGAGGGTCCAACTCCATTTTGGTTCAGGTTGTGATCTCACAGTCATGGAATAGAGTCCTGAGTCAGGCTCCGTGTTAGGAGTGCAGCCTGCGTGGGATTCTCTCTCTGTCCCTCTGCCCCTCCTCTGCTCATGCGTGTGTGTGTGTGAAATCTCTCTCTTAAAAAAATAAAAAAACTTTATAAAACTTAACAAAATGTTTTCTCTTATTCCATAGATTGCCTTTTCACTCCAGATTGTGTTCTGGAGTGTGCACATTTTAAACTTTGATATAGTCACGTTTGCTTTTTTTTTTTGCTGGTGTCTTTGGCATCACATCAGAGAAAAATACCAAATCCAATATCACGAAGCTTCTTTTCTTAGTTTTAGACTTCTTGGTATGATATAGGAGATCTTTGATCCATTCTGAGTTGATTTTTGTATATGGTATTGGAGAAGAGTCCAACTTCATTCTTTTGCATATGGCTATCCAGTTCTCCCAAAACCACTTGTTGAAGAGGCTATCTTTCCCCTTTGAATGGTCTTGGCATCCCTGATGAATATCACTTGACCATATTCACAAATGTTTTTTTCTGGGTTCTCCATTTTACTGCATATGTATGTATGTCTGTATTTATGAGATTACCACAGTTTTGATTACTGTAGCTTTGTAATATGTTTAAAATCAAGTAGTATGCATACTCTAACTTTGTTTTTTTTCAAGATTGTTTTGGCTATTCAGGGTCTTCTGAGATTCCATAGGAATTTTAGAATGAATTTTTCTGTGTCTGCAAAAAATGCTCCTGGGGTTTTGATAGGGATTGTGCTGAATATGTGGATTACTTTGGGTACTACTGACATCTTAACAATATTAAGTCTTCCAACCTTGAACATGAGATGTCTATTTATTTTTTTAACAATTTTTAGTTTAATATTCTCATTTTGTTCACACATAATTTTCATGTTTCAGTTAGTTGTCTATGTCTGTCTCTTTTAGTTTCTTGTACATTTTTAAGATAGTTTAAAAACATTCTTCTGTCAGGGGAGCACCATTTAAGCATCTGGCTCTTGATTTTGGCTCAGGTCGACTCATGGTTGTGAGATCTGGCCCCACGTCAGGTTCTGCACTAAGTGTGTGCTTTTATCTGTCTTAATTTCCCAAATGGCTTGCCTTTGTCTCTTCTCAGGAGCCCACAGTCTCTTGCTTCCCTGGTACCTGCCTGTGGAACTGCATACTCCCTGCAGCTATAACATGTGGCAGTGCTCACCTCTCTTTTCAGCAACTTCCAAACTATATCACTATTCCCATCAGGAGAGAAAACAACCGTCCCTTGGGCAGCTCCCTAACAAGTCAGGACACTGGACTCAAAGTCCACTTTTTGGGAGGAGCTGGGGCAGGTGAAATTTCCTCCCAGTTGCACCATGTTATGCAGGGGAGGGGGAGGGACATGGGCACACCAACTGACACAAACTCTCCTACTCCTTTCACTGAGTCCCTTCTTGAGTATGCATTCTCCTGGGCACTGAAGCTTCTCAACTGATCTCCAGAGTTTTCACAGAAGTATTCTGGTCCATATGTTTTTCTTAATTTGGTGTCTCCATGGGCTAACAATAGCCCAGAGCTTCCTTGTTTATCATCTTGGTGATGTTTCCCAGATCGTTCTTTTTTTATTTATTTTTTTATTTATTTTTATTTATTTCTAGGAGAGAGAGACAGTGTGAGCAGGGGAGGGTCAGAGAGAGGGAGACACAGACTCTGAAATAGGCTCCAAGCTTTGAGCTGGTAGTCAGCACAGAGCCCGACGTGGGGCTCAAACCCACGAACCGTGAGATCATGACCTAAGCGAAAGTTAGACGCTTAACTGACTAAGCCACCCAGGCACCCCTCCCAGATCATTCTTAAAGCCCTAAGTTATTCTGCTCCAACCTGGACTGACTGCTGTGTCTACTATTCACCATAATTTTAGTTCTCTTTATTATTCTCTTGGATTAGATCTAGTGTTCCCTGGATCCTGTGCCACCCTCTTTATTAATCCTCCCTTCTTTAGATGCATACCTTTAGGTAACCAAAGAAATGGCGTGTGAGGATATTTTTTTTCAAGTTTCTACATGTGTGGAATGTCTTTATGTTACATTCACACTTGAATAATAGTTTGGTTGAGTATGGAATTCTAAGTTGAAAACAATTTGTTCCATCCAAGTGCTCTGGGTGAGCAGACAGAACGCTGGCCATCAAATTTAGGGACCCCTAAAAGTCAGAATGCAGAACTTTTTTTCTGGAGCACAAACTCTATACTAGGTGCCTTTGTTTATGACATTCAATGTCTTTAAAAAATAAGTCCTCATGGGGCGCTGGGTGGCTCAGTCAGTTAAGCGTCCGACTTCGGCTCAGGTCATGATCTCATGGTTTGTGGGTTTGAGCCCCGCGTCGGGCTCTGTGCTGACAGCTAGCTCAGAGGCCGGAGGCTGTTTCAGATTCTGTATCTCCGTCTCCCTCTGACCCTCCCATGCTCATGTTGTATCTCTCTCTCCCTCCCAAATAAATAAAACATTAAAAAGAAAAGTCCTCTGACTTTTTGCCCGAAGGGCAGGTAACCTGATGACTGAACTTTGTGTACTCAAGAATGGAGAGGTTGTCAGTTCTTGCTACAAACTTTTTACAGCCTTCATCTGACTCTAACCCTCTTGTATATACTGTGTTTCTGAGTTAAAAACCTCTCTGCTCCAAACGGAGATTTCCTTTCTCCTTGACTGCAGCCACCTGTAAATGTAGTATAGCCTGTGGCTTTCTCTGCCTAGCTTTACCAGTCAACACTCTTACACTTCCTTTAGTTCTTTAGTTTTCATTCAAATCTATTGCCCTTCCCCTTATTTTCATTGCCATGGATTTATATCTTTCTCTATTCATTTACTATTCTTTTCAGTGGAATCTCAAGAAGGAAAGGAATAAGTGAAGGTATTCAGTTTTGAACTGGAAGAAAGCACATACCATTTCTAAAGGAATTTTTTGGTGAGGTTGGGAGTATAAGGAGGGAATAACGGCAAAGACATTACTACCAGATTTACCATCACTTTTGTTTCTAGTTAAAACTTTCTATGCAAAAGATACACCCTCATAATCGTTATGTTACCTCTTCCTCCATGACATAAGTGAGCAGCTTCCAGTCCCACTCCACTGTCTTGGCATTAGCTGGATGTAGCCTGAAAGTCAAGTGACATCAATTAGAATTCTAGAGGGCTTAGTGGAAGAAGGGATGGGATCCGGAAGATAACAGAAACAAGAAGCCTCCTCTTAGCCTGTTTTTGTCTATCCTCTGACATGATACCATGTCTTATGACAGTAGTGGAACTTCAGTTTTTTTGCTACCCAGCATCCACTTCTTTTGGAAGGCATTAGTACTCCAATTTTGCCTTGAAGAAATCAACTCTTTTTTACTGTTAGTCCATTAGCTTTACCCTACCAGAATCCCAGCCCATGAAGTATATTGAGCCCATCATACTATTCTATCCCTCAGTTCACAGTGATGGGCTCAAAAATGGGCTCATGTCCTATGTTGTCCCAATTAAAGCCTATAAGACTCAATTTCAGAACTTTGGTGTGATTATAAAGGAAGTGGACTCTCTCTCATAAAAGCCAAAGGCTGAGAAGACTACTATGTGGAGCCTCAAGAGAGAAGCAAAGCAGGAAAATGGATCCTGGTAACCATTTTGAACTGAATTAAGTCTTATTCCTATGCTTCTAGTAAAATGAATAATTAAAATCTCTTATCAGCTGTTAAAGCTAGTTTGGACTGGATTTCCTATTAGTTGCAACCCAAATAACGTTAATAAGCTAAGCTCCCCTCTCTAATGGTTAGCTGAATCAAGCTTAGGCGAGAGAAAGCTGTGCCCTCAGTCCAGATTCTCCAGGAGATTCACCAACATCAAAGGTTCATACTGTTGAATTTTCATGAGAAGCATATAGGCCTCCTTCAGTACATCCACGGTCTCAGAGCCACTGAGCAGGATTTTCTGGATGATATGAGCCACAATTTCTCTGGGTGGGTAATGCTGGGGTGACACAAAGTCCATTAAAAACTGCACAGTCCCCAGGGGAAAATTTTCTTCAATGGTGTTTGTTACCATTCTTAGTCTTCGATGAGGAATGGGTTCTAGTTTTTGACCCTTACTCTGCAGAGATAAAAATAAACCAATTAGAACAGGTTTCTACAGACTTATGTACAGAGGTTCTGAAACAGGTTCAAGACAGCAAAATTTTCCACGCCGATATATTCATAATGAAAAATAAAAAGACTGAAGGCCTTATCTAAAAAACTTTTAATGACATGGAAAAATACTTATACTAGGTTAAAAAATAAGAATTCAAAGTTCTACATATAATTTCATCTGTGCTAAAAGATAGCATTGAAAAGAAGTACAAAAGGGTCAAGAGTTAGCCTAAGTAGATTTTAGAGGGTGAGAAAATAGGGTAGTTGTGATACTAGTATCAGATACTTAGATAAAGAGAGGAAGAAAGATGCTTTAAAAATTTTTTTCAATGTTTATTTTTGAGAGGCAGAGAGACAGAGCATGAGTGCGGGAGGGGCAGTGAGAGAGGGAGACACAGAATCTGAAGCAGGTTCCTGATTCTGAGCTGTCAGCACAGAGCCTGATGCAGGGCTCAAACTCACTAACTGAAAGATCATGACCTAAGATGAAGTCAGACGCTTAACCGACTGAGCCACCCGAGCACCCCGAAAGAGGCTTTAAATATGTTTTATTGTTAAGAGAAGAATCCCATTTTGTTGATTTACTGTCAACAGTAAATGTTAGGTTGCTTCCCTCCCACCTCCCAAAAGTATGTATATAAAGACTGGGAGAGAATTTGTGAAAAGTGGTTTCCTATTATCTGGGGTGGTGGAATTACAGATGATTTTCTTCTGTATGCTCTTTTGTATTTTTCTATAATAGACACATATTACTTTCATAATCAAAAGAAAAAAACATGAAAAAGTTTTCTGACATCAGAATATAACAATAACAATAATTTTTGAACATTTAACTTATCCTCGTCTTAATTCTCACAACCCTAATAAATACATACCACTATTATTCCTATTTTATAGATAAGGAGACTGAGATTTAGAGAGTAAGGATTTGTCATGCAACAAATGGCAGAAGCTGGCTTCACACATGGGTGGTGTTCCCAGATCTGCCCTCTAAATTCATACTACCTCTCAACAACAAAACTAATAATAATAAATATGTTTTTATTAAAAATCCCCATTATTAAAAAATTTTAAATGCCTATGTATAAAAAGCAACTGAGCAGGAAATACACCAAAATTATTAACAATAATAAATGCTGATTGATAGCACCCTAATTATTTTTTATATTTTAAAATGGTTTATATTAAGCAAACATTATTTTTAAGATCTGAGAATAAATATTAAGCTTATTATTTTATTATTATTTTTTTTAATTTGAGAGAGAGAGAGAGAATATGAGGGAGAGGGAGAGGCAGAGGGAGAGGGAGAGTCTTAAGCAGGCTCCACGTCCAAAGTGGATCCTGACATAGTGTTTGATCTCAAGACTTTGGGATCATGACCTGGGCCAAAATCAAGAGTTGGACGCTCAACTAACTGAGCCACCCAGGCAACCCAAGTATTAAATTTAAAACATCAACCAAAGATCTGACAGCTTATATGTAACAGCAAAACAGTGATGGCTAGAATTGTCCTTCCAGAAAATCTTATGGAGAAGTCTAGTTAGCTTTCCTTATGTCTCAAATCACGTAAGGGTAACCTCTTACCTTACTGATCAGAGACCAACACTGTACATGTCATGCAATTAAATTAAGAGCCAGAGAAAAGAAGAACAAAAAAATATTGCTTTTGTGACTATTTTACATGAACCTATATTATTCATTTCTTGCCTACAAATGGGGACATCTACAAACAGATAAAGTTTATAAATTCTTTTGATGCCCATATACTAAAGGGGAACTATGACTTATAAAGTATTTCTTTCGGCCTTGAAAGGTGGCTTTGTGCTTTGTGTTTACTTTTAGGTCAAACAACTTTATGATATGAGCAAAGAGAGACTCAGAAGAGTTAAGGCCAGTGGCTGGTAAGTGGGGACTGGCTAAGAAGTTCTGAGGAGAAAATGACCTAGTGAAGAAGTACTTACTAAAAGCCCAAAAGAACTCATAGGAGAGACAGAAAAGATTTACAGATGTATTCTAGACGGCCAAGGTTCTTTAAGGTAAGAAATAAAGATGCAGAAGAAAAATCCCCTTTGTTTGGCCTAACTGCCATCTTTTTTTTTTTTTTTTAATGTTTTATTTATTTCTAGGAGAGAGAGAGAGAGAGAGAGAGAGACAGCGTGAGCAGGGGAGGGTCAGAGAGACAGGGAGTCACAGACTGAAACAGGCTCCAGGCTCTGAGCTGGCAGTCAGCGCAGAGCCCGACGCGGGGCTCAAACCCACGAACCGCGAGATCATGACCTGAGCGAAAGTCGGACGCTTACCCGACTAAGCCACCCAGGCGCCCCCTAACTGCCATCTTATAATCTATGTTTACACAGAAAGGGGATATGGTGTCCCATTTACATCTACTGGCGGCTTTGCTACTTGTGCAGCACCCATAAAGCACTACAGCCTAGACTAGGGAAACACAAACTCTCTCAAGTCCTTCAAATGCTCTTGATACTGGATTGATGTATCACCATCCTGAGGCAAACCTGCAGGAATAAAGAGTGAGCTAGGGCAGTTGGGGAGACTCATTCAGAAAAAGAAGACATAAAACATATTAGAAGATATAACAACAATTAAAATGAGAAGAAAAAATTCAATCTTCAAGGCCAAATTGATATGAATGTCTGATACAGGGTACACAGGGTGACTGATTGTTCTAAGAATGCACCTTTTGAATTCATGGATTACCTCAAACTAGTCTTTTTTTAAAAAAGGTTTATTATTTATTTCTATACAAAAATATATTTGTTTATTTTTTTAAGGTTTATTTAAGGTGAGGGAAAGTGAGCATGAGCCTGGGAGGGGAAAAGAGAAAGGGAGAGAAAATCCAAGGAGGCTCCATGCGGTCAGTGAAGAGCCTGGCCTTGGTCCTGAACTCATGAACCATGAGATCATGACCTGAGCTGAAATCAAGAGTCGGAGGCTTAACCAACTGAACCACCCAGGCATCCCTCAAGCCAGTCTTCTTAATGTTGAGGATATGGTTATGGATGATGAAAAAATAGCTTCATAGTATAAGACTTCACCACGAACTGTTTCTTACATCTGCTAAGAAAAGTATCTGGTTTAGTTCTCTCAGCTCCATAAAGACCAATGGGAAGTAGAGTTCCCGTTAAAATCTTTTTTCACCAATGTTTATTTTTGAGAGAGACAGAGAAAGAGGGAGAGACAGTGTGCATGCACCTATGAAGGGGGGAGGGGCAGAGAGAGAAGGAGACAGAGACTCTCAAGCAGGCTCTGCACTGTCAGTGCAGAACCTGATGGGGTGGGAGTGGAGGTGGGGTGGGCTTGAACTCACGAACTGTTAGATCATGACCTGAGCTGAAATTAAGACTTGGTCGGTTAAGTGACCAAGCCAGCCAGGCGCCCCTCCCATTAAATCTTAAAATTGAATTTCCTCCCCAAAAGTCAGAAAGTAATAGTTTTGGAAGCACTGAAGTGTCAAGGACATCACTATCTCTGTGATGTGGGAACTAAAATAAGGGTATCAGGAAAGGAAAGGCATAGGAATTGAGAAGTATTTGATGAAGGCCTATAATGAGCCAGATACTCTAAAAGACAAGACACTTTTACATATATTATGTCATTTAATGATCCTGTGAGGTATGTTTTTATCTCCATTTTACATATAGGAAAGAAGCTAAGGCTCAGAAAGGTAAAGTGTCTTCTACAATGCCAGTTTTTAACTGTGGGGGTGAAATTTGAACCCAGGTCTGACTACACTAGATGATTCTACAAGTGGAGGAAAGATAAAAATATCAAATTTATACTGAGCCTGTCTGTCATGCATATTTATGTTAGGCCTATACAAAGGACACCTAATCCCTAGGGGAAGACAAATTAGCTCACCTCTCTTGTGTCTTTATCTGGTATTAGTGTCTGGAAGAAGAGGTGATGCACTGGAGGTCGTAAGAAGTACTTCAGTCTGTGCAGGCACGGTCTAGTGTATAACCCACTTTGTGGTGTTCGTGCTTGTACCTGGGCACACTCGAGGTTAGCAGGCTCTGACAGTGATCTCTCTTTTCTGGCTAGATTTTCTGTAACAGAGAGCCAAGGAACTTTCTCTAAGGAAGTTTCAAACTGGGGAGACTGTGGACTGGGAGAGGACCTTGGGGAAGATGAAGTGGAGACATCCATAGGGGTGTCATGGTTCTTTATTTCATTTTGGGGAGGGTCAGGCCAGTCTTGTCGCAAGTAAGGCAAGTCTCCAAGTGAGTGGGTCGTGTCCCCTTGCAAGCAAGCCATGTGTCCAGTTGAAGGGAGCAGATCTCCTGGGAAGTGGGGGACTTCTCCAGGTGAATGGGGCATGCTTTCTGGTGACTGTGGGGCATCTCCTGGCGACTGTGGCATGTCTGCTGGCGACTGTGGAATATCTGCTGGCAACTGTGGCACATGTCTTGGTGACTGTGATACATCTTCTGGTGACTGTGGCACATCTCCCAGTGACTGTGGCATATCCCATAAGTGTGCCACATCTTGTTGATATGACATGTTTTGAGGTGGGCCTGGCACATCTTGAGGTGGGCACAGTGAGTCTTGAGGTGGGCTGGGTGAGTACTGAGGTTGCCATGATGAGTCTTGAGGTGAGCTTGGCACATTTTGCTGAGGACATGACATCTCTTGAGGAGGGCATGGAACTTCTTGAGGTGGGTGAGGCAGAGCTTGTAGTTGGCACTGCATGGTTTGTGGTGGGCATGACAAGGCTCGTGGCGGGCACGAAGAGGCTCGTGGTGGACAGGGTGAGGCTTGCAGTGGGCATGGCAAGGCTCGCAGTGGGCATGGCAAGGCTTGTGGTGGGCAAGGCACATCTTGCTGTGGGGGTGGTAGGGGTGCCCTCTGATTGCTGCTGCCACCATTATTGCTGGAGGGGGAATGGGAGTGAACATCTGAAGATAGCTGTAGGCTTGCCAAGAAGCCAAGGTCACCTTTGAATGCAGTTGAACTACAATTTGGCTCTGCTGGATACACAGAGTCCCCACTGACAGATGTAGGAGGTTGTGGACCCTCAAATGTGGTTTCTTCCAAAAGGTCCAAATCCACAGGATCGCTGTTAATGATTCTCCGTGCTGCAGGCCGAGAGCTTCTGTCTACCCGCCCTTCCATCATCTCTTTGCTGGAGAGGCTGGCACATGTCTGAAGACTGGTTGGCTCCTTCTGAGAAGGAGCAACAGGTTCTAGAGTCAAGTCAAGAGTGGCAATGGGTCTATTTTCTTCCTCAGTTCCTGTCAGGTCAATCACACAGAGTCCATTGCGATCCTTTGCCCTTGGTCTGGTTTCTCTAGTTAAGTCAATGAAGTCCTGTTAAAGAATTATGAGAATATAAGTGGTCAAATAGGGAGTCTTTGCTTTATCTAAGAAGATTTATATCTGAGTTTTTAAGAATAATCCTATTTTACCTTTTCACTTCGCTGAAAATTTATACATTTTGTATAACATAAGCATTAGTATTTCTTTTGGTTGAAATTTTGCTGGTGTCAATACTGTCTATTTCTATGCCATCTTAAATTATCCAAAAGCTACATGCATATAACTGAGGGCATAGTGGGAAATTCAAGGTAAACAGGGGAGCAGTAGAGAAGATTTCAACCTTAAGTCACAAGGGAAAAAGCAATCTTTGTTTGAAAAAGCAAATACATAGGATAACTTACAACAGAAACTAAAGAAGAAAGTAAGCTAACGGCAGATAATTTACCATGTGCTAAGAACATGTTGAGTGCTTTCACATATCTTTAATTTTCATAATATCCCTATCAGGTAGGCCTTATAATTTCCATTATACAGATGGGGAAAATGGAGTTCAGAGGAGTTAGGTTATTACCTAAGGATTATACAATTAAGTCACAGACACACACATTCAAACCCAGGTCTCTTTCCTTCTTTCTCTGTACAACTTCATTCAATATATAATCAGCCTATATTCAGATATGTAGAGTAATACAATAACAGTTATAAGAGCAACAGTGTAAGTCTGAGCCCTAACTAGGTTCATTATGGAAAACCTCCTATCTTTACCTCCATTCTTTGCCAAAATGATAAGGTAGTTCATAAATCCTGATGATGTCAGCCCATGGTACTAAAATCAGTTTCCGTGCCATATACATGGAAAAATATTGTACTCCCTTTCAACTCTCAAAACCGTCTCAGTGTGGATGACAAATAATATTAGCCTAATTTTCGATCAATCTCATTGATGAATATGAACGCAAATATCCTCTCTGAAGTATCAGTAAATCCGGTATTAAAAAAAAAAGAGTTCCATTTCTGATCAGAAGGGCTAGCTAGATACTCTGATCAACCAACCTAATAAAAGCTAGAAATTATATATAAATGTAAAAACACCAGAGGAGTTATAACAAGAAAAACTGACCAAAAGAAAGCCAGTGTATCTATATTAATGTTAGACAAACTAAATTTCAATGAAAATAGTATTACTAGAGATAAACAGGCTACCGTATGATAAAAGGCTTATTTCATCACATAATAATTTTAAAATTATGCCTAATAACATAGTCTTCATAAAGCAAAAATAGAAACAAGTACAAGGAGAAAAAGGAATATCCAGTCATTATAAGAAACTTTTACAGATCTTTTTTTTTTAAAAATTTTTTTTTAATGTTTTATTTATTTCTAGGAGAGAGAAAGAGAGAGAGACAGCGTGAGCAGGGGAGGGTCAGAGAGAGAGGGGGTCACAGACTCTGAAACAGGATCCAGGCTCTGAGCTGGCAGTCAGCACAGAGCCCGACGCGGGGCTCGAACCCACGAACCGCGAGATCATGACCTAAGTGAAAGTCGGACGCTTAACCGGCTAGGCCACCCAGGTGCCCCCAGATCTTTCTTGATTGACAGATTATGCAAACAAAAAATTGTTATGGATACAAAATATTTGAACACTTTTTCCACATAACACTCAGTGCTCATCCCCACAAGTGTCCTCCTCCATGCCCATCCCCCCCTTCCCCCCACATCCATCAGTCCTCAGTTTTTGTCAGCATTCAAGAGTCTCTCATGGTTTGCCTCTCTCCCTTGTGGAAACTAATTTGACAATAAACTATTTGTAAAAAAATAAAATAAAATAAAATAAAGGGAGAACTTCACTTCTCCAATATCAAAAAAAACAAAACAAAACAAAACAAAACAAAAAACAAAACAAAATATTTGAACACTTTTTAAAAAAGTTTTTATTTTGAAAGAGAGAGAGAGAGAGGGAGAGGGAGAGGGAGGGAGAGAGAATCCCAAGCAGGCTTTACACTGTCAGTGCAGAGCTTGACGCAGGCCTCGAACTCATGAATTGCAAGATCATGACCTGACGTAAAATCAAGAGTTGGACATTTAACCAACTGGGCTTCCCAGGTACCCCGAGATCTGAACACATTTAACAAGCTTCATCTAAAGGATTCAGAATAGATATTCACAATTGCATGAAATATTTACAAAAATTTACCACAAACCAGAGTCAAAGTACACCTTAGTCAATGTTATAAAAGATTATCACTTAGACCAAAATACTATTAGCTTAGGAAGCAATACAAAAGAATAACAAGGAAAAAATACAGATAACTGCAAATTGAGAAGTATGACCAAATAACATATAGGTCAAAGAAGAAATCATAGAAAATTAGAAAAATTTTAGAACTGATTACAAAAATACCAGTTATGAAAATGTGACATGCAGCAAAATCACTATGTAGAAAAAAATGTACACTTAGACAATTAGAAAAGTGGAATGGAAGATGGGGCGCCTGGGTGGCTTAGTCGGTTAAGCGTCCGACTTTCGCTTAGGTCATGATCTCGCGGTTCGTGGGTTCGTGCCCCGCGTCGGGCTCTGTGCTGACTGCCAGCTCAGAGCCTGGAGCCTATTTCGGAGTCTGTGTCTCCCTCCCCCTCTGACCCTCCCCTGCTCACGCTGTCTCTCTCCCCTAGAAATAAAAAAAAAAAAAAAAAAAAAAAAAGAAAAGTGGAATGGAAGAAAACTAATGTGATAAGCACACACCTTTTGATAGGAGAAAAAGGGGAAAAAAAACGCTCAAAGAAAGCAGAAGAACAGAGGAAATAATATCAAGAGGAGAAATGAATGAAACAAAGAACACAGTAGAGACGTGCAACAATGTCACAGGGTTGTTCTTTTTTTTTTAAAAAAATTTTTTAAGTCTTTATTTATTTTTGAGAGAGAGACAGAGTGTGAGCAGGGCAGGGACAGAGAGAGAGGGAGACAGAGAATCCGAAGCAGGCTCCAGGCTCTGAGCTGTCAAGCATAGAGTCTCATTGAGGGGCTCAAACCTATAAACTTCAAGTTCATGATCTGAGCTGAAGTCAGTTGCTTAACCAACTGAGCCAGCCAGGCGCCCCAGGGTTACTCTTTTAAAGATTACTAAAATTGGCACACATCTGATGAGAAATTTGAGAACAAAGGCACAGATAACCAATATTAATTAAGAATGAAAATGGGACAAAATTACAGATGCTTTTAGGATAAAAAGATGAGAAGATGTTATGAATAATTTTATATTCAAAAAACTTGGGAACTTGGGTGAAACAGATAAAGCCCTGGAAAAATAAAGCTTAGTAAAACTGACTCAAGAAATTGGGTGATGGGTACGTGGAGGATCATTATACAATTTGCTATATTTTTTATGTTTGAAATTTCCCATAATGAAAAGACATTTTTATTTTATTAAATTTTATTAAAAATTTTTAAATGTTTTCTTTATTTCTGAGAAAGAGACATAGCGTGAGTAGGGGAGGGTCAGAGAGAGAGACACACACATAATCCAAAGTAGGCTCCAGGCTCTGAGCTAGCTGTCAGCACAGTGCCGGATGCGGGGCTCGAACCTGTGAACCATGAGGTCATGACCTGAGCCAGTGTCGGATGCCCAACCGACTGAGCCACCCAGGCACCCCGAAAAGACATTTTTAAGTTGACTCAAGAAGAAAGAAAAAAATCAAAGCAGTCCTTTAACTAGTAAGAAATGAATCAGTAGTTGAAATTTTTTCCATCAAAAAACTCCAGATCAAGGTGATTTTAAAATCACCCTTTTAGTTCTGCTAAAAATTCAAGGAAAAAAAATGATTCTAATTTTATACAAGCTATTTAAAAGTATTAAAAAAATAAGAGGCTACTTCTGACTCATATTATGACTTAGCATAAACTTGATCCAAAATCTGAAAGTACAAGAAGGAATATTATAAGTCAATATCACTTCTGTACACAGACACAAAAATCCTAAACAAAGCACTAATAAGCTAAGTCCAGCACAACCAAGATGAGATTACCTAGGAATCACACCTAGCTTAGCATTAAAAAAAAAAAAAAATCAATTACTATAGCTCACCACATAAAGGAGAAAATCATATGATCATATGAAGAGGCCAAAAAGCATTTGATAAAATATTCAACATCCATTCTTTTAAAAATATTTTTTTTATGTCTTTATTTTATTTTGAGAGACAGCCAGAGAGTGTGCGGGGGAGGGGCAGAGAGAGGGAGACACAGAATCTGAAGCAGGCTCCAGGCTCTGAGCTGTCAGCACAAAGCCCAACATGGGGCTCAAACCCACAGACCTGAGATCATGACCTGAGCCAAAGTTGCACGCTTAACTGGCTGAGCCACTGAGGTGCTCCCAACATCCATTCTTAAAAAGAGGAAAAAAAAAACCCTTAAAGTAGAAATAGAGGCAAACATACTTACCTATTTTTTTAATTTTTTTTTTTTTTTAATTTCTAGGAGAGAGAGAGAGAGAGAGACAGTGTGAGCAGGGGAGGGTCAGAGAGAGAGGGAGTCACAGACTGAAACAGGCTCCAGGCTCTGAGCTGGCAGTTAGCACAGAGCCCGATGCGGGGCTCGAACCCACGAACTGCGAGATCATGACCTGAGCGAAAGTCGGACGCTTAACCAACTAAGCCACCCAGGTGCCCCTAGAATTCTTCTTAAAGAGACTATATATTATATATAGGGGGATTTGGGCACAAGAGACCTTTTAGCAGTTTATGTTTTTAAGAGGCCTCTTTCCCTCCCCTCCCTTTCTTTTCCTTCAGTCTTCAGTGATTGTGAGCTGTGTTCACATTTCAAAAACATGANGCACCCAGGCGCCCCCATACTTACCTATTAAAAGTTATTTACAAACCACATACAGTAATATTACACTGAAACACTGAAAACATTCCTTGTGAAATCAGAAGCACATCTAAGATGCTTACTGTTGCTAATTCTATTCAGCATTGTTCCAATGTTGTATATGCAATGCAGGAAAATAAGATATAAAAAGTATAAAGATTAGAAAGAATAAAACTGTCCTTCATGA